GGTACACTCCGCGGTCCTGGAGAAGGAAGGGGAAGGGGCAGAGGTTGAGTTCCTGAACCAATGAGAGGTGAGCTAGTGTTAACTGGGGCAGTGCTCAAAGTTCAAGTCAAAACCCCTGGGGAACAACGAAAAAAAAAGATGGGAGGAAAAATGGGTGCTGGCAGGTACAAAACCCTCCCAGTTCTCACCTGTGCAGGGCCCCCCTGATGTGTGGGCTGCTTGGCCCCAAAGGTCTGGGCATGTTTGCTCATTCTCTCCTTCTTGGCCTCCACAGCTGCATAGTACCTGGGGCACAGGGAGGGGCAGCCGTCATGTCCAGCTAGGGACCCAGCCCTAACTCTTTCCCCCATCTCGGGGCTCACCCTTTTGTATGGAAGGCTCCTCGAGAGTCCAGCAACAAAAAGAGCTCCCCCTGGGTCTTGGAGCTGTTCCCTGTGAAAAGATAGTGCTCCAGGGGCACGGGGCGGGTTACAGTGCTAATCACATAGATCTGACGACGCTTCAGTCGCCTGAAGGAAGGAGAGGGTAGCAAGTCAGGGATGGGAGTGTGGGAAGGAACCCACATCCCCACACCCTTCCCTACCGCTCCAACTTTACCCAGTCTTTCCTGAGACCCAAAATGGAAGGCTATCCCCCAACATCCCATTCCATTTCAACATGCAAAGTAATCTGGACCCAAAGGGGATCCCACAGCCACCAGGTGGGACATGTTCCCCAGCCTCACCCCTAAGGCCTGACCACTCTCCTTGCTGTGGTAGACTTAGTGCCCCCACCCCAATCAAGGAGTACTGTAGCCCCCATCAACCAGGCAACCCAGGACACACGTCTCACCCAATCCAGTCAGCAAACTCAAGGGCGTTGGGGACGGTGGCACTCAGAAGGATGATAGAAACGTGGTCAGGGAGCATGATGAGCACCTCCTCCCACACGACCCCACGCTGGGCACAGAGAGGGAAGAGAGGTCACAGGAGGGCAGGAGCTGCCCTTCTGCCCCTAAAGAGGCACGGGATTCCGTATGGGGGTAAAGAAAGCAGGAAGGTGCCCTGAGTGTGTAGAATAAGGGAGCCGTTCAACTGGTCCCAAAGGAAAGGACTGCCGGCATCTGCAGAGCCCAAGGCCCTTACCTCGGCATCGTTGATATAGTGAACCTCATCAAAGATGACCCACTCCAGGTCCCGAATAACATCTGAGCCACTGTACAGCATGGAGCTGGGGAGAAGAGGCCAAGGATTGACTCCTCAGTGGCTCGTCTCCATCCCCTCTTCAGACTCTCCACAACAGCCACATCTTCCCAGCCAAAACTCGCCTGTATTGAGTGTCCATCTCTCACCGAAGGATCTCTGTGGTCATGATGAGGCAGGAGGCCTCCGGGTGCAGCTGCACATCCCCAGTGAGCAACCCCACATCCCCAAACGTGTTTCGGAAGTCCCGGAACTTCTGGTTGCTCAGGGCCTTGATGGGCGAAGTGTAGATGGTGCTGGGGAAAGAACATGAAGTTAGCCAGTCCCTCTGCAGACTCATGGCCCACGCCTCCTCTCCCACATGGAGCTCTCGCAGAAGCATGCCCCAGAAGCTTAGTTGCTCCACTTCTTCACCCAAACTGCCCTACATTCTCTTTCATGATATAACCCCAGAAAAATTCTGTCCCCAATCCCTTCCTAAACTAACCCAGGTCATTCTTCTAACCTTTCTCCCCACCATGCCTTTTCATTTCTCTCTGGGCTCTTGTCTCAGTCTCACCCCTGAACCTCTCACTTAAAGGATGAGCTAGAGAGGTGGGGGAAGAGATGGGATTTTCAAAGGCTGCAGGAGAAAATGGGGCTGGCTGGTGAAGGGGGAGGTTGGCGAAGCAACTCGTACCGTGTCATGTGTTTCTGGGCCAGGGCAATGGCATATTCAGCCACAACTGTTTTTCCTGCAGATGTGTGAGCTGCAACAAAGACAGAGTCATGCCGCTCCAAGTGCAGGATGGCCTGTTTCTGAAACACATCTGGCTCAAATGCCCACTATGGGAGAGAGAAATAGACAGGAGCTGAAGAAAGGAGCAGGGCCTTCCTGCCTCCTGCTTATGGAGCACACAGGGCAGGGGGATGAAGGCCAGAGCCAGCCGAGGCTAGGACTAAGGACCAAGACTGGCCTGGGATGGATCTGACCTCTGGCGGATAGAGGAGACAAGGGGTTGGCTGGGAGTGTGACCCAGCAAGAGGTAGAGGAGCATGTGAACATGGGGCCAAAGTACCTGGAAGGCTGGCTGGGGAATGAGGCGATAGAAATCACCAACGGGGGAGGTGGCATCCACAGGTATGGCCCACTGCTCCTGAGGTGGAGGCTCTGGGGCTTCTGGGGCGGATACAGCTGTGGACGCTTCCTGGAAGAGTCAGGGGTAGGGGTTATAAAGATACAACCAGAGGGCTCTCGATTACCACTCCTCCCAAAAGATGTCCCTTTCTTCCCCTCAGACTCATCCTAGCCAGTCCACATCCTGGTGGCAAGGCTCTTTCTCGCCTCCACTATGCAGAACCACCAACCTTCAACACTAGGTCCTCCAAACTGCTTGCTCGGGCCAGGGGAATACTGCAGGGAGAGGCTGAAACAGTGTCCCTTCTGGAACCTCCTGGCTGTCCCACTGCCTCATTCTCATCCTCTTCACCCCCACCCAAATCCAGAGGCTCCAACAGATAGCTAAGGCTTAGTAGTCCAGGAGCTGGAGTTGGACGATCTGAGAAGCAAGGCAACAAGGTCAACCTCGTCATGCTGACATCTCTGTTCCTTAGGAGAAAGACATGATTTCTCCTACACCCCACTCAAAAACCAAAACGAACCTTTTGGTGCAAAGTCCATGCCTTTCTTGAAACCAGGTGGAACAGTAAGAAGATCTGTAGGACAGGGACATGGAATCAGGGTCACTGCACACTGGTGAACAAATCGTGTACATTATATAAACCTAAAAGATACCATTTACAGGACAGATGCTGTAGAAGGGGATGTTTGCTATGGCACTTTCCCAACAGATGACAGTAAAGGTTGTTGTGGACAGGATATCTCTTTCTAATTTTCTCAGAGGCATGGGAGGGCTAGCAGTAGCCCAGTGATAGCCTGGGCTCTTCCTCCTCAGGGTTCAGACTCAGAGCCCTACCTTACCTTTCTCAAAGTCTATCTCCTCCTCAGCCTCCTCCCATGTGTTCAGATCTGTTATGGTGGGTTCATCCATCCCCCCTGGGAAGAGACAGGACAGACAGGGATTCATGGGATGAGGATAATACGAGATAGGTGGGGAACCCTTCCCTGGAGATTAAGGACACCCTCTTCTACCATCCCATCTCCACAAGAGTCACCTGGCCAGAAGGGATACTGAGTTGGATTTCCCCATAAGGACTGGGAGGCTGGCCCTGGAGGCCGGCGAAGAGACAAGGAGGTTGTGGCCAAGAGATTTGTGTTCTCCAGCAAGACCTAAAGCAAGAGATCAGAGCCCCAATGAGGTTGAGCTTGTCTCTGATCACCTCCCCTTCTCCCCAACTCTGTTTCTTATGACCCCTGACCTCCTACCTCTTTGTAACCCAGTATCTGGCCTGTGGTTGGGTGTCTTTGGGCCTGTAGGTCAGATGGGACTGGGGCTCCCAGGACAGCCAAAAGAGACCAGGGATCCGTCTTCCTTTGCCATTTTCTGGAGAGGAAAAAAGTAATTTTTGGGTCTTTTTTCTTCCTCTGCCCCAGCTTCCTTCAGGAACCCATCACCCTAGTCTAAGCCCCTCCAGACTCCTCACCTGGCTGAGTGCTCCACACCATGCAGAGGCAGCCAGGCTGGGGATGACAGAAACAACTGTTCTGCTTCTTGCTGCAGATCTGGGGCACAGGGAGGGAGGCCATGGGGAAGCTGAAACAAGGGCAAGATGAGAGGCATTAGGTAAGGAAAGAGGGTAAAATGCAGACAAAAGAGGTGATGGGATTTGTGTTCAGATCAGAAATGGTAGATGTGTCGAACAGACTAGGACAATCAGGCTTGGCCAAAAACTACCCGCTACTGAATTACCTGGGGCAGATTTTGGATTTCAGAAACATGGAGGCTGGACCTAGGAATCTGCATTTTTAAAAAGCTCCCCTGCTAGTCATGAAGCACATGAAATTTAAGACTCACTGATTTTAGAAAAAGGGGTCCCAGACCTAAGGATGAAGAGTTGGAGGCTCAAAGCCTAGCATCTCAGTCACCAAGTGCCCTGGGGCTTGGAGACAGAAGGGAGCTCCATGGAGAAAGAGCAGCTCTTAAAGCAAAAATATCCCCAGGACTCTCTGCTGTCTTCACATGGACTGCAGATACACTGGGCTGGAAGCTGTCCAACACCCGTTCAGGCTGGGATGGACAGGAGTACAAGCACAGATGAACAAGGTTAAGCTAGATCCTACTGTGAGGAGGGTGAAGGAGGTTTGGACTCAATCAGGGTCAAAGGTTAGGGTCAAAAGTCACTCACGCTGCTCTCCGGAGCTCCAGGCAAGTTCAGCAGCTCCCAGCGACCCGTGCATCCGAGCTCCACGGCCCGAAGGGGTAGGTCCAGGGGATCTGGAGGAGGTAGCACTACGGGGAAAAGTCAAAAGTCAGGGGTCAAAGGTCATTCCATGTCTGCTACTCCGTTCCATTTCACTCCCCTCCCCCTCACCGAGTCGCTCTGTCTCCATCATTCTGGAGCCACAGCGCCTGCCGAGCACCCGGAAATGCTGCAAGTAGTCCCTGCGAGGTAAGCCCCGCCCCGGAACGGGCGGAAGTAGAGACAACTTCCGGCACGGCCCCGCCGAGAGCGTGAACTATCGCTGCGGAGGGGCAGACCTGGACCGGTGGAAGGCCGGGCGGAAGTGCGTGCCTGGGGCCGCCTTGGTTACCGCGTTTTCCGCCCTTCGCTACGTCATCGTTGTGAGCCCGCTATCAGCGGCCAGCGCGGGCGCGGCCGGAGACCGTGGGGCCTGCGGTTGCCGCCCCCTCAGGTAAGGCCCTCTGCTTCTCACTCTTCGGCCCCTTTTTTCATAGCCCTTTCTCTCTTCTTCCTCTTTGAGTTGCTCTGAGGGCGCTACGCTGGCTCCACCGCCTTCTCTGCCGTTCGAACCCCGCGGCTGTCCTTACCCCAGCGAGGGTAGGGGGGTCGGGTGCCATCGTCTTGCCGACGGAGTGGGTGTTTGTCCCTCCCTGAGCCACATGGTTCCTCGAGGTGCTGGTGTCTGTGATCCCTGGAGACAGGAGGGAATGCTGGATGATCCCGACCAGCGGGAGCTTGGACAGCATCCTGGTTTAAGCAAGGAGTAGGGAAAGCCAAAGGCAAGAGTAGGCAGACCTGAAGGGGTGGAGTTGGGTACAGTGTGGACGGCGTGTGAACCCCGGGTGGTAACAGGGGAGAAAGATGTCTTGGGCCCTGCCCCTGAACTAGGAGCCACCATGTTGGTGATACCCCCCGGACTGAGCGAGGAAGAGGAGGCTCTGCAGAAGAAATTCAACAAACTCAAGAAAAAGGTGAGGGACTGTGTGTGGACATGGCCTAACCTTTCACAGACTCTGCACTCTGAGAAGATCTGGGGTGAGTGTGAGCGAATGGGAAAGTTTTTCTGGCCCGTATCTAGAGACATATCACCCACCTCACAGTGTAGCTTCGAGAGGTGGGCTTTCCCAAGCCCTAGTGTGGACCTTCTGTCTTTTCTGTGCAATCGGCCATGGGATTTTCTTCCTTTCCAATGGCTTTTAGTACCACCTAAGAGCTGATGATCCCCAAGTTTGTTTTTCCAGTTCTATCCAGTGTCATACTGAAAAACTTCAGATACCCAAAGTTGGAGCTATCATCTTTCTATTCTTGATCTTCCAAGTAAGATTGACTACACCAATTCTGCCACGCGTTTGGACTCAAAATCTCATCTCTGACTTCTCTGCTATTTGCATAATCAAGCGTTTGCCAAGTCTTCTTGTTTTTTCTTTTGAAGCAATTTTTCCTGTTTATTCTTCATTGTGTATTCCCCCGAGCAGGGCTTTATTGACATTCACATGGGCCATTGTAATGATCTCTCAACAAATTTCTCAGTCTTTTTGTTTTTTTAACAGATTTCTTCACTCTTGGTCAAACGATCCATTGAAAACACAAAATTCTGCTCCCTCTGTTTCTCAAAAACCGTAAATGGCTTCACATTGTCTATATAACAAAGCCCCAAAACCTTAGTTTGGCAGCCTTGTCTAGTAAAGTAGAACTATTCAATACTCCCAAAACATGCATTCCCAAAGCATTCTTACCTCTGCATGTTTGCCATCCTGTCTTCTTTTTCTAAAATACCCTTCTTCTCTCTGTGTCGTGCAGAGATACGGGGGAGGGCCTAGTTTAATAGCCATTAAACATCAGAAAATCTTACTAGCTTTCAGCTATGAATAATCTGCACCTCTTATCGTATTGCTAACTCACTCAGTTTATTTTTATTTCTCAGACTATAAGCTTCTTGAGGATAGGAACAATGCTTTAGCCTCCTGGATATCCCTGTTACAAAGTCATGTCTGGGCCTTATTCAATATGCAGGAAATAGATGGATGAAGCCTCCAGGAAAGGCACATAGACTTATACTTACTTGCAGCTTATATCCTAGGATTCTAGTCCATGATCAAATTCTTTGTCTTCAACCTCAAAAATGTAACACTCTGGAAAACCTCTGGGTTCCGTGGTTTGGTTAGATTAGGAATTTCCGGCATCATACATGATCTAGGGGACCAGAGGCAAGAGGCAGAGTACATCAATGCACCACTCTGAGGACATCAAGAAAGATGGTCCCTGGAGTGATGTGCCCAGGGGTCTTGGGAGAGGAACCGGCTAGGGGCTGGCCCTCACTGACCTCTCTCCTCTCACCCTTGTTCCCAGAAAAAGGCATTGCTGGCTCTGAAGAAGCAAAGTAGCAGCAGCACAACCAGCCAAGGCGGTGTCAAACGCTGTGAGTGACAGGGGAAATGGGGATGGACTGGAAGTGGGCAGCATGGGGCTGACCTTCATCATGGCCTGGTCAACATAATGCCTCTTCCCCTTATCACTCCAGCACTATCAGAGCAGCCTGTCGTGGACACAGCCACAGCAACAGAGCAGGCAAAGCAGCTGGTGAAATCAGGAGCCATCAGTGCCATCAAGGCTGAGACCAAGAACTCAGGCTTCAAGCGTTCTCGAACCCTTGAGGGGAAGTTAAAGGTGGGCACAAACAGAAGGATTGTTTAGAGGGCATCCCTCCAAGTTGGAATGTAGATGGGTTTGGGGAAAAATATGCATACTCAAGCACTGGCAAATTGCTGTACCATTCTGAGTTTCGCCTCTCAAATATAAAATGAAAAAACTAGGTGACTCCTGAATTCTCCATTTTACAAATTTTGTAGTTCTAATCCACCTTGGATTGGAGCTCTTGGAATATGTCGCTCTAAGGGATGGAAAGGGCAGAAAATGTTATCAGATTCAAGAGAGGTTCAAATAAACTGAATATATAACATATCAAGTCACTTATAAAAAGTATCAGCTGGGCGTGGTGGCTCATGCCTATAATCCCAGCACTTTGGGAGGCCAAGGTGGGCAGATCACTTGAGGTTAGGAGTTTGAGACCAACCTGGCCAATATGGTGAAACCCGTCTCTACTAAACATAACAAAAATTCGCAGGGCATGGTGATGCACGCCTATAGTCCCAGTTACTGAGGAGTCTGAGGCCAGAGAATCGCTTGAACCTAGGAGGCACAGGTTGCAGTGAGTGGAGATCGCACCACTGTACTCCACCCTGGGCGACAGAGCAAGACTCTATCTCAAAACAAAACCAAAAAGCTGCAATGGCAGGTGTGGCAGTGGCTCATTCCTATAATTAGAGCACTTTAGGAGGCCAAGGTAGGAGGATTGCTTGAGGCCAGGAATTTGAGACCAGCCCTGGCAACATAGTGAAACCCTATCTCTACAAAAAAAATAAAAAATAAAAAAATACAGAAATTAGCCAAGCATAGTAGAGCGCATCTCTAGTCTCAGCTACTAGGGAGGCTAAGGTGGGAGGATTGCTTGAGCCTAGGAGGTCAAGGCTGCAGCAAGCTATGATTGCACTATTGCACTCCAACCTGGACAACAGAGCAACACCCTGTCTCAAAAAATAAAAACAAATAAATAAAACCACATAGTCAAATAAGAAATGTATATAGTGTTAAAAGGAAAGAAGAGATCAGAGGAAATCTAGAAGAGGGTGAGGGAAGAGGAACATCTCTGTTCCATGGTTGGGCAGCCTCCTGCTCCACACTGAGGTAGGTCTCTCACCTCTCCAGGACCCCGAGAAGGGACCAGTCCCCACTTTCCAGCCGTTCCAGAGGAGCATATCTGCTGATGATGACCTGCAAGAGGTAAAGGCTTCTAATTTCTGTCCCTGAGGGGTTGGGGATGGAGGAACATGAGAAACTAACTTATTTTGGACCACATGTTAGCAACTGGGAATCATCTTAACTGTTCTTGGTCTCTTTTACAGTCATCTAGACGTCCCCAGAGGAAATCTCTGTATGAGAGGTTAGAGAGTAGAGATAAGACTGGGCCCACTTGGTGGGGTTGATTGCCTGAGTCCTTGGGAGGTTTGGGCTGTAGAAGCTGTGCTATTGAGGGAATATTGAGTCTCCACAGGGTCCGAGGGGAAAGGTAAAACCCCCCTTTGATCTTCAGTCTGCATCTCCCCAGCTTTGTGTCTTCTAGCGATCGACTTCGAGAACTAGGGCCAGATGGAGAAGAGGCAGAGGGCCCAGGGGCTGGTGATGGTCCCCCTCGAAGCTTTGACTGGAGCTATGAAGAACGCAGTGGTGCCCACTCCTCAGCCTCCCCTCCCCGAAGCCGCAGCCGGGACCGCAGCCATGAGAGGAACCGGGACAGAGACCGAGATCGGGAGCGGGATCGAGACAGAGACCGAGAGCGGGACAGGGATCGGGATCGGGATCGGGATCGAGATCGAGATCGAGATCGAGACCGGGAACGGGACAGGGATCGGGAGCGGGAGCGGGATCGAGACCGAGACCGAGACCGAGACCGAGAGGGTCCTTTCCGCAGTGAGTGATCTTGGCTGGAGGTCAAGGTGACCTTAACTGAGGTTTATGTGGGTCCTACCAAGTGAAGTGTGGGATGGACCATGTCTTGTGACTGTGATTCCTGCTCCCAAAGGGTCGGACTCCTTCCCTGAACGGCGAGCCCCTAGGAAAGGGAATACTCTGTATGTATACGGAGAAGACATGACGCCTACCCTTCTCCGTGGGGCCTTCTCTCCTTTTGGAAACATCATTGACCTCTCCATGGACCCACCCAGAAAGTAAGGATGACAACAGGGCATGATGAGAAGTCCTGGGCGAATCCTGGGGTGTGAGACTTGAGGGAGGAAGCTGCCCTCCCGGCAGCCGCCTATGATCGCTGGGTTTGGTTGGGTCCAGAAGAGCCCCTTGGCTCTCCACTGACCCTGTTTTTTCTTATCCCAGCTGTGCCTTCGTCACCTATGAAAAGATGGAGTCAGCAGATCAGGCCGTTGCTGAGGTTGGAACTTCGCAAATCTGTTCTTCCCATCGCTTCTGCTGTTCTCATGTGTTCTCATCAAAATACTAGATGCCAGGAAGAAGTTGGTTCCTCTTGATAAAGAAAGTCTCTCCCTATTCACACAGAAAAACTTACATTCTCAGATTCCTTATTCAGTCTACTCCTAGGATAGCAATTCCTGGAATAGCTTCTTTGGTTTATCTGTAATGTTTTCCTCCCCATCCTCTGCCTCCCCTCTTCTGCTTTAGCTCAACGGGACCCAGGTGGAGTCTGTACAGCTCAAAGTCAACATAGCCCGGAAACAGCCCATGCTGGATGCCGCTACTGGCAAGTCTGTCTGGGGCTCCCTCGGTAAGAATGGGATTTTCTTTCCCATCCTCTCCCCTACAGCACACTCCTTTTGGTTCCCCCACACATCCTTGGGTTTCCTAGAGATTATCGAGGTCAGAGTGTGTGCAGAGGCTGTGGGAATGGGAAGGAAAATTTCAGATCATCTGTTAGTTAGAGGTAAAGAAAGGAGAGAAAAGGATTGAGAACAGCTTCCAAAGCAGCGACTGGAACAAGGAAGAAAATGGGAGCTGGAGTGAGATTAGTGAGAAAGATGAGTGTCTCATGGGGCTTGTTCATTTTGAAATGGAGTAGAGTGAATTTCGTAAGTATTTGAAAGTAGGGATCTGGAACTCAGGTGTGAGGTAAGGAATGAAAACATAGATTAAGTCATCTGCATCACAGGGTGGCTCCGCGATCATGAGGGAGACTGATTTCAGAGAAAAAAAACGACCCAGGACTAGACTTGAGGAATACTCAGGGACTATGTTAGGAAACAGGACTGTCCACCTCACGCCCCACATGTCTCCAGCTCTCCTGACATGTTAGGCTAACGTTGAGCCTAACGTTAGCAAAGGAGACAGGAGGAGGGGTCAGAGGGCTGGGAGCAGCACCAGAGGGGCCTGGGCCACTGAAGCGAAAGGACACATGCTTTGAGAAAGAGGGAGTAGCCAGCAGTGTCAAGGTACAGAGATCACAGGATGGGAAGTGGGTGGGAGAGATTCTCTCTAGGTCAGGGGTGGTGGGGATGGAATCTTTGGATGGGGTGAAGAGAGTAACATGTCTGGTGGAGGGAGGAAAAGAGGAAGGGGAAGAAACAGCTAGAGGCTTGAGAGAGAATGGTGAGGGCCAAAGCTACATGCTGGATGAGTTCTGGTGGAGCTAGTAGCATTCCTTAGTATGAGTAACCCATTTACCTGAAAGTAGATTTTCCTGGGAAAGGAGTGAGGAGAAAGAAGGACTCAGAGCAACAGTGGCCTTTCAGGCAAAAGAAAGGAACTAGAGTTGACCAGCACGTCAATAAAGGGCTACAGAGGCTTTCTAGTTTTTAGCTTCTGACATACTGACTATAAGTAGTGGGTTAATATCATTCATATGTCTCAACAATGACATTTGGGATTTTTCTAAGAACAAAACATTCATCAAAATGTCCACTTACACTCTCCTTGGCCGTGGGTTGGCACAAAGGAGCTAAGGAAGACAGGCCATCCTGGCCACCAGAGGGCAGCGTGGAAACTGGGTTTCCAGGGGCCAGCAGCCAGGACTGAGGTGGTCAGGAGTCAGCCTCAGGGTCTGATCTATGATCTCCTTTAGACCTTAACTGTTCCTCTCCTCCCTCCCTAGCTGTCCAGAACAGCCCTAAGGGTTGCCACCGGGACAAGAGGACCCAGATTGTCTACAGTGATGATGTCTACAAGGAAAACCTTGTGGATGGCTTCTAGGGAACAGAGCTGGATTCCTTGTGCCTCATATGCCCCAATGCTGGTCTCAGTAAAACACTGAGGTGGAAGCTTACACATCTCCCTCAGCCTCTGGTTTTTCAGCACTTGGGATTGGGGTTAAGCCTTTAAAAATGGGTGTCAGGTTTGATCTCAGTGTAACAACATGGCCAGTGCCCATTCCCCACTCCCTTGCCCCAAAAGGATCTGGAACACAAGTGTTGTCGCAGCTGTTTTAATTCAATCCCGCGCCCCTGTCCAGCAGGAAACCCCTTAGAGAAAACCCAAATCCTCATCTTGGAGTTTCTCCTTCAGCCAGGGCAGCACTTGGAAGAGGTTGACGTGAAAGTCTCGGGCGTGAGCAGGTACCTGCTTTTGCCGCTTCTGGTTTTTGCAGACATCCACTACTCCCCAGCTGATTACACCAACCTGCAGAGGCAGTGGGGTGCCATGAATCATTCATAGAATTCCTAATCCTGGAAGCATGACTGTTCCTGATTGTGTCTTAGCTGACCTAAAGGAATCAGGCTAGGGACCCAGCTCAGCCTCATTCTTGACACACACAGGCTAGACATGCAGTCCTAAAGTGAGGCAGGCTCTGCCCACCTCGAATTACTAGCCACGTGCATTGAGCTTTCCTGCTTTGGGGCCCATGCTGACCACTTGGCATCTCCCCAGATAGGAAAGGGAGGACTCACTTGAATGAAACGACTTCTCTTGTGAACTATCAAGGGGCCGCCAGAATCACCTGCAAGGAGAGGAGAAGCTGTAGGGAAAAGGACTCTTGGCCCTCGGGCATTTGGAGCACAACCAGAGAGCGTTCTCTCACCTCTACAAGTATTGGGGTCAGCATAGGGACTCACTCCTCCAGTACAAAGGAACCGAGGGGTGACCACCTCCGAGATGTCCTTGACTTTGTCATAGCCTGGGGCATATTGAGCATCTCTCTCACAGCTGCCTTTCTGTAGGGGAGGTGGGAAGCATGGAGAAAGGTAATGAACAGAGGTGGCTTAGGAAGGATTAGGGCCTAGAGTGCCTCCTTAGGATGCCCATTTCTCACCTTATCCCCATTCTTGATGTAGACCTCCTTCCGAGTCAGCTTCTTCTCCTCCTCAGACACAAACAGAGCTTTGATATCCTGTGCAGGGAGCAGCTCTTCCTCTGGACAAATAGACTGCATCACTTCAGCTGCTCCCACCACTGTCATCTCCCTATTGACTTTGTCACTCAGCAGATGTCCCCTAAGCCCTTCCTAGTGCTAGGTTCTGGGCCAGGCATCGTCTCTTCCTATTGCATCTCCCTCTCATGCCTCCCTTGTCTCGGGATCTCATCCTTATCCTCCCCCCCAGTATGTCTTACTCTGTTGCTGGCAAGTGGTAGTTGGAGGAAGCCTCAAAGCTCGAGTTGTTCCCTCGGTGCAGGGGAGACAAATGGGCCTATAAAGGACAGGGAGAAAGAACAGCAAACTAGGCCTGCTCCTCACCCCAGTCCTCCAGCCTTTCCCAGCCTTTCCTCAGGGATCTGGATGCTCTCACCTGATAGTCGGGTCATAATTCAACTTTTTCTTGAGCTTGATCAGGGCAACGTCATAGTCATAAAATTCAGGAATTCCTGCTGCTTTTTTCCCGCTAATGTTGTAGTCGGGGTGAAATAGGACTTTTTCTATCTCCAGGTCCCGCTTCTTCCCTTGAAGTAGGAGAATAGGTACCACCTCTTTGTGGGCAGCTTCTTGCCTCTGGCCCCATGTCATTCCTAACTTCAAGTCTTCCCCATCCCTGACTGGTGTGGGGTGCAAGGGATGGGGCTGCATTGCAGATGAGTGGAGTGTGGGATCTGTAGAAAGTGGGAGGTGTTGCCTGGAGGGCGTAGGTGCAGCCCGGGACCTTCAGTTGCATCCTTACCCACGCTGACCTTGATCGAGTGTTCCTTGTCGTCCACAGTAAAACAATGTGCTGCTGTCAGCACAAAGTACTCAGACACCACAGCCCCCATACAGCTCTCATGTCCCTTCGAAGGGCGCTGGGAACAGAACAGTAGAAAGGGAAAACTCAACTTTCACAAACCACCATCTCTTACGGCCATTTTGCCCTTCCCCTACTCCCATTTCACCTTGACCTCTTCCTCCCCCAAGTCCTCACTACCGGGATTCTGTGCTTACGGTGACTGAGATCTTGGCCTGCCATGGTTGCTTGTGGTAATCGGTACCCGCGCTGTGTTCCCAAACCATGCCACAGAGACTCAGAGACTGGCTTTCATCTGGCAGAGAAGGAGAATGTGCTGAAAACTCGGAACACTTCATTCCCAAACGGCAGCAGCCTTTGGGTAGGAGTCTATGGGGGGCAGAGGCCCAAAAGGAGAAAGGGAAAGGCCACAGGTATTTGTTTCCTCGTGTTGGGAGAAAACTGCTGTGATGGAGTGAAAAGGGAAAGAACTTGGGATCAAGCTCTCAGAGGCCTGGCTGTTTTCAAGCCCAGCCCTGTTGCTAGCTTGCTGCCCCTTGACCTCCTTTGGCCTTTGTTTCCACATGTGTCAAATGTAGGACCATAGAAAGATCTCTGAAGTGCCTAGAACTCTGTGATTCTAAGGTTAAGAAGCAAACAGTGCCAGGAAACAAGAATAGTGATACTGAGGTAGAGAAGGAGGAATGAAGAAGGCTTTCCAGGCAACTAGAGCTTCAGGGGTAGAGGAAGAATGAATTATTTCAGGGGAACCTGAGGAGAGTTGCATTCTTTATTCCCTTGTATCTGCCTACCAATCATTTGGAAGAAAACGTCTTCCAGGTTTTCCATATCCTTGACTTTGAACACATGTTGCTCATTGTCTTTCTTGGAAGCCAAAGCATTGATGTTCACTTGGTCCACCAAAGGTCCAACCCCAAACACATAGACATCTGAGGGAGAAAAAGGAAGGATGAGGGTCCAAGCCCTGAGGAAGTAGGGTGCTGGGTCCTAGGCAGGTTACTCACCCAGATAATCCTCCCTCGGGTTTTTGCGATCCTTGCCGATGTATAACAAGTCCCGGATCTCATCAATGACAGTAATTGGGTCCCCGCCCATGTTGTGCAATCCTGCAGAAGAGACAGGACCATGAGGGTAGGAGATAAGATAAATTGGCTAGAGGCAGTGATACACGTGGCAGGGTAAGTTGAGGAAGGGTTAGAGGTAGTTGATCACAGGGCTTTAGGAATAATTCTTTATGAAGGGTCACAGGAGAGATGAACAGCCAGTTATGAGTCACATTCAGGGCCCCAACCATGGGTATAGTGTTACAAGTGGACTTAAGGGCCACATGCTGGTCTGAGAAGGTGGGGAGGCTGGGACAGGAGAGAGGTCCCTTCTGACCATCGGTCATGAGGATGATGACATGGCGGGTGCGGTTCCAGCCTTCAGGAGGGATGTCCTCTGGCCAACTCATCATGCTGTACACTGCCTGGAGGGCCCTCTTGGTGTTAGTCCCTGACTTTAACTTGTGGTCTGTGGAGAGGGAAGAGAGCATCACCTCACCTGGTCTTCCAAGCCATCTTTTAACCCCAGAGACCAATCTGCAACTGAAATCTCACATCTTTCAACTTTTTAAGTTAATCATCATACGGACTTCCCTTTGACCACAAAGTGGCCCTTCCAGCCCTCAGCAGGTTCCCACTAACCTCCATTGCCCAATGACCCTGCTGTCCAACCTTTGACTACAAAGTGGTCCCCCTGTTGCCCTCAAGGTAGTCTCATGACCCCCTCCACACAACACTCCTGAACCTCCTGACCCCAAAGTGAACCTCCCACCATTCCCTAACCTCTGACCTTCATAATTGATTTCATTGAGCCTCTTCGTGACCCAGTCTGCATTACTGCTTTCTTGTTCAGACACTTTGACCCAAATTCTGGGGTATGTGGCATATGTCACTAGACCATATCTTGGCTTCACACCATAACTTGCCACCTGTGGGTGAGAACAAGGCGCCATGGCATTGAAAGTAGAATACTGTGATTGGGAGACTTCAGCAACGTTGCTAGGACAGGGAGGCTCTTAGGAAGAGGCTCAAGCACTGAGGTTCATGGAGGAATCACGTACAAGGGAAGGAGGACAGAATAGGACCTGGAGACTTTCCTGGGGCCCTGCGGTTCAGAGGGGCTGGAATGATCAGGGAGCTAGTCCTGGAAGATCAGCAAGATTCCATTCCCCCAAGTTCAGGGATAGGAGGACTCCACCTTCTCAATTAAGTTGACTAGACACTTTTTGGCTCCTGTGAAGTTGCCGGCCCCAATGCTGTCTGATCCATCTAGCACCAGGTAGATGTTCATGGAGCCTGAAGGGTCTATGATGATCCTCCGCTTCTGTTGTTCCCCTGGGTGCCAGGAGAGTGACTCAGGCTCCAGCATGAATGATTATCTTGTCCCTTCTGCATTTTCCCCGTTCCCTGCCCTGCCTCCCCTCTCTGCCTTCAAACCTGGGCTGTGCCCATCCTCGGCATCGACTCCTTCTATGGTCTCCGTCAGGGAAGACAGGAAAGCTTCAGCCACCTCTTGAGGGGTGTCGTACATGAAGGAGTCTGAGAGAGTCAGAAATGAGGTCAAATGTCTGGGAGTGTCAGGGACACAGTGACCAAAGAGACAGGGGATTGTGGGTTTCCAGGGTGGAAAAGGCTCAGAAGTGAGACAGTTCTAGAGGGAGGTTTAAAAGAAGTGAGGAAAGAGCAGGGTTGAGGTGGGGAGAGAAGACAGTAGGATGCAAGATCAGGATCTGACCTGGGGGTACAGGTCAAGGGTTACCTTGGCAGGAAGGCTCCGTCCCGCTCCAAGAGCCACCTTCCTGACACGTTCGCCGCTGGGAGCCACGCAGGGTAAGCCCCCGGCTGCAGTGGTAGGTGACGCTGTCTTCAAGGCGGTACCGGCTGCCCACCTTCCTTGTGCCAATGGGGATGCCTGGGTTGGAGCAGTACCCCGCTGCAAAGGCATGAGACATGGAGGTAAGCGCTGAAGCCTGAGGCCCCGCGGGCAAGGTAGAGAGCAAGAGTTACAGTGTCCGGGGGCAAATGCCCACTCCTCAGGCTAGGCGCTGTCAGGGAGACAGCAATGTGGGGGGAGAGGATGCTTCTCACCTCCGTTGTCACAGATCGCTGTCTGCCCACTCCACCGGCCATTCACTTGGCAGGTGCGATTGGCAGAGCCCCGGAGAGTGTAACCGTCATAGCAGTGGAAAGAGATCTCATCACTCACATTGTAGT